TAGGGAAAGGGTCTGGTGCACGGGACCAAGCTGTCGGGGCCAAACAGCTGGAAAGAAGAAGAAGAAGAGCCATCCGTCCAGAAATGAGAGGACGCCACGCAAGTTCATCGCTCTTTCTTCTCGGGTGTGGGGACAGGGTTAACCACCTCCCACCAAACCCAAACGGGAGAACCATTTGTGGTTTCCAAGCGCTCCAGATGCTACGGCTGCGTTGCAGAAGAGGCAGCCCTGAGACCACTGCATTTCTCCTGGTACCGCAGCTGTTCCTCAGCCCACTGCTCTCCCTTCCCCTTTCTGCTTCCCTTAAGCCCTTTGGTACCTCGGTGGGGAAAAGCAACTGAAAACAGGTGTCCGGGATTAATTAAACTGAACTGTTTAAAAACAAGACCAAACGGTGCTGAGCCTCTGGCCAAGGGGGTCTGGGCAGCATATGGTAACCAAAAATCGAAATCCATTCACAAGGAAGATGGGCATGTTGATCAATAGCCTCTTGCCCTGAAAATACTAGGAGAACCATCTCCTGCCTCCAAACCAGAAAGTTTGAGGAGTGGTTTTGCACATTAAGGAAAGTGCAAGATCTCTGAGCCAACACTTGAGAGCAAACTGGGAATCGATTTAAAATTTCCAAGCACGGAGGAGTAGAACGAGCAAGCTGTGCATTATGCAGAGCTGAGATGAAAAAAAGAAGGGGCGAATGAACATACAGAGATGAAGAAACACAAAAGCTTAACCTCAACTGAACCGTAAAGGAACTGTCGGAGTCTGAAAGGAAGAGAAGAAAAGGACACACGTCCGTGGACACTGCCCGGGGTTAAGGGAGTGCTGGTGAGGGACGTTCAATATCGGTCTCCATTTTAGAGGACTGGATGCATCTTTATATACTCAATTTGCTATTGGATAAGTTGGATTTGTTAATAAAAGAACAGGCTGGGAGGCTTGGTTCTGTGTTAGCTATAGTGCAGCCCACTGAGAGAAAGGGAAGAGGATTCTTGCATTGCTCTACTGCATTCATTTCTCTTTCCCCATTCCACTTCTGCAGAATTTGGTAGGAAGGTCAATGCTGCCATATTTGCTCTCTGGATAGAGCACTAGTCCCAATTTCTTCCCTTTCAGAATGACAGCCCAAGGATACGGCCTCCTTCACTCAGAGCGGCCAGGCAGAGAGGCACCAGGAGAGTCTTGGGCGGCCAGGAATTAGCCACCAGCAGGCACCATCAGGGAGCTTCCTCAAGCAGGGGAAGTTACAACTGGCAAGGGGACAACAGGAAAGGAAGTGCTTTGCTGCAGTCACTGAAAACCTTTTTAACACCCCCCACCCCTACACACACACACAAAAGAAGACCACCACCGAGCGTTTGCCAAGAGCCCGTTAAGAGATGAGTATGGCAATCTTGGACACAGCAGCAGTAAACTTGCAACGTGCTGCTGGATTCTTCTTACCGAGAGAGGAAGGGTGGTGCAATGGTGGTACTGAGAGAAGCGAATTCAAGCCCCTGCTCTGCTGTAGTCATAAACCTGGGACAGTCAATAAGCCTCCCTGTGCTCTGAGGAGAAGTGTTCCCTGTAACCAGCAGCATCAGTGGGAACAGAAATAAAGCCTGCAAGAGTCCGAGTACTGCAGCAAGGGGAGGGGGTATGTAACTGAGATCATCTTCCCACAGCAGATCCTCAGACCAGAGGCACATAGGAACTGCCCAGAGAAACTGGAAAGCATCCAGATATGGGTCTCTTTTGTCCTCCCCCGAGTTAACGATTGGAAGGGAGGCACCTGGTTGACCCACCCAGCGGCCACCCTCTGGCAGCCCTGCCAGGGCACAGAGTGGGACACGCTCGGTGGGACACTGACCCTGCACAATTGCAAAGGCGCAGTGGTCTCGCATCTGCCAACTGTGCAGGGCTCCCTGAGTGCATTAACCCACAAAACTTTGGGGCCCCCTGCAAGCTCAGACAGGAAAAGGAGCGCTGCGGCTTTCCCCCCATCTCCAGACAACAGACGTGCCAGGGGATGGACAGGGCGGCGGAAGAGGCACGGTGATTAGAGCAGTTCTGAGCTTGTGGGGCAGCCTTCTCCTGGAACGCACAGAGCCACAGCAGCAAAGCAACAATGCAGTGCTGAAAGCTTTTCCTGAGCGCACAATGCTTTTCAGGCTATTACACTTCACAGAAGGGCAGCAGAGATGATGAGTGGCATAAAAGGGTAGAGAGCTGCTTTGGACGTGGAACCAAAGGACAACAGCATGGAGCAAGGGAGGATGCTCCAACAAAAGGTGCCAGCCCAGCAGTTACCTGCTTCTTCTTCAGCTTGGAGATCTGCTGTTCCACCATTGTAATCTCCCGATCCACTCGGTCCATATTCTGGATGAGCTCCTCCTTCGACAGCCTGGATGGCAACAGATCCAGCTCAGAGTCGGGGTGAGGAGGGCTGACCGGAGACACGGGTTCCAGCTTGCCAGTCAGGCCCCGGTCCTGGGGAGAGCAAGGACAGTCAGGTCAGCTCTGCCTGCAGAAGGAAGCATCGTTGCTTGCTCTCTGGCCCACAGCACAGGTGGTAACCCCCCACCCCACTCCTGATTTCCAGCCCCCCTGAAAACAAGACCCACCTGGCTACCCAACAGATCACATCCCCAATGTGCTGTACAAACCTCACCGGTTCCCCTTGGAAAACCAGGGGCACCTTTACAGAGGTGAAACCTGTTCATTGCTCTGGGACGAGGTCCTTGGACACCTCTTGCAGCCATAGGAAATTAAAAAGGTCAAAACCAAGGCTGGCAGGGAGAGCAAAGGATGCTGAGCACGAAGTGTGCTACTTGGTCAGTACTGGCGCCCAGCAAGGGAAGAAGACCATTGCTCCAGGTAGTGAGATAAAGGCTTTCAGCAATACCGCCCTCCCTGCCTCTGGACCCCGGAAAGCCATTTGCACAGAGACAACAGCCTCCTTTTGTAGTTACTAGGGACAAACTCATAGCACCGTTTTCTCGACAACCATTACATTTACACACACACACACACACACACTTCCTGGGGAAGGCAGAGAAACCAATGCACTTCCATTCCCTGGCTATTTTTGGAAGGCATTTGGACTCTACAGTGATGGATGCTGGATTAATAAGGAGAAAAAAAAAACCCCAAAAGAGAAAAGGAGGTAGATGAGACTAGATTAGAAAACAACGGAACTGATGTGACAAAAAGTCTGTTTACAGAGGCTGAAACAAATGGTAAGGGATGAAGCACTCGGTTCAATGAAACCCTTCCAATCACAGAGCTGCCAGAACAATACGACCTAAGAGAATTTCAAAGAATAGCTGTAATTAGCATTTAGTGGGGGGGCGGAGGGGAGAACGACTCTTGGGGATAAGATCAAAATGCTCGGCACTTTTCATTCTCGAAAAAAAAGCAGCGCCTTAGCTGCTACCAAGAAGTCAATATCCCCAGATGGCAATGCAACAAGAATCCATCATTTGAAATCACCTTTCCTCCCAAGGAGCACCGCATTATTTATAAGCGCACAATGGCTGGCGTGCAAATGCCACGTGCCGCCCACCACAGAACGGAGGCCACCTCTTGCATGCGACATGGCAGCTGTTTAAACAACATACGGCCATGCTACGGGACCGTTCGGGCCCGGAAAGGAAAGTCGGGTCAAATCCCGGCCAGCTCCGAGCAGCCTGCCGAGTTGGTTGTACCTGCTTGCACGTACAGCCTCTGTTTCCACCTGTATCAGAGCCCAGAAACCTGGAGCACCTGGGAGGAAGCCCGAGGCAGCCGCGGGACTTCATTCGGTAAGAACAGATTCACCCCAAATGGACAGGATCTAAGATTGCCCCTCCTGCCGCTATAACGAGGATCACAGGGTATGTAAAGCACTGCACACAAGGTCAATTAAGCGCCCCCTTTTTTTTTCTTCTTTTTTTGAACAATAGCTGTCTGACTGCTAATTTCAGCACTATTACCACATCGCCTCAGAAACCATTACTAGGGTGCGTTAAATTCCTGCCCGCTGAACGCTGACCCCTTTGCTGCGAGATGCAACAGGCCGGTAGCACGCTAGCCGGCTCCTTCCATTCGAATTCGGTAGCTCCTGGACCTCGTCATGATGCTTATCTATTTATTTCTTTTGCAACCGGGTGGATTTGTATTTTTTTTTTCTCTAAGGGGTGTGGAAACAGGAGAGGTGGAAGCGATGGTTTGGTTTGTAACCTTAAACCACAGACAAACTGCACAGTAATCTCCCTGCAGCTGCTCTCCGGGCAGGAGGGAAGGGATGGGGGGGGTGCAAAAAAAAAAAAAAAAAAAAAAAAAAGTAAACGAGTGAAGAAGTTCACACAACTTTGCTACCTTAATTACAGCAGCCTTGGGTCTCGAGACAAGGCCTGCATTGTTCTCCAGCACCAACTGGTGCTTTTCATTCCTTCGAGAAAGGTCTCCCTTTTCTCGGGGACTCGCTGTCTCTGGACAAGTGCCAGGCAAGCCTTCCGCCTGGACTCCAGCAACAGGTGGGCTATTCATTACCCCACTTCTACTGGGGGCTGTTTCAGCCTTCGGGGAGGGGTGAGGGATAAATGGGACAGCAGCCCAAAGCCAGCAGAGACCAGGGATACGCCAGGAGCTCTTCTGTGCGGGTCAGACAAGGGAAATCATTCAGGCGCCTGCTCTGGATTGCTCTGCCACGAGCGCGATTACTCAAGCCGGGGTCAATCAATGCGGGCATGATCTCGGGTGCCGCCTTTGCGCCAGTTGATCTCGGCATTTCGTGAACATCTGCTGCCTGGAAAGTGTAGCCGCGACACGTGGCCTCAGAGGAGACCATGCATCCTGGGGATGCGCTTTAACCCTTCGCCGTGGTCCTCCTGGAGGCCCCGCGGCAAAAGCTTTGCTATGCGGATTGGAGCAGCTTCGGGGAGAGCTTCCCCCTCTTTGCAATCAAGTTGCACCCGGTTGCAAACAGGTCCCGTGATCTGCGCCACGGGAAAGCGGCACTTGCTGCACGTTTGATGGCAGGGAGGTGAAAGGGAAACGCCGCTGTCTTTTGCTCAGCCAGAAAAGCAGAGCAAAGGAAGGACCGGCAGGGAAGGGCGGAGAGAAGATCGCTGCCCTCGCCTCCTTCCACCTGCTGCAAGGGACAGAGACCATGCAAACTCCCCCTGCCCTGCTCGCGGGCCCTTGTCTACCATAGGGTTGAAGACAATGTACGGTTTTCACTTTCGTCCCACGCCTCCTGCTCTGAGCGTGCCACGAACTGCACATCCCAACCAGAGTTATTCAGCTCCCCCACAGCACCCGCGGGCTCAAGCACAAGGAAAGCAACCATCAAGGAGGACAGTTCACGTTCCTCGTGACGTAAAGGTGAACGGGTAAAGCCTTCACCGCGGCCACAAGTTTTAAATGGAGGTGAAGCAGAACAATCAGAAGGAGGAGAAGATTTATAGGCACCTTGTACACGGTTTAAGGAGTCCAAGCAGAGAGGAGGAGTGGGACGAGAAGCTGCGCGGTGAACTCGTTAGCTGAAGAAGCCACTTCAGGCTACGCATTTGAGGAAGGGCAAGGAAAATGCAATTGCTAATTGCACGTAGGAACCAAAGATGCTGTCCTATGTTCGGTGATATGCCGAAGGCAAGGAACCTCTAAATGGGCTCAGCCCTCGTGGGGACCCTGCTTCTCGTACGCTGTCAAGCGCTCGCCTTCGTTTCCAAAGCAAAATCAGCAGCGCCGTGGCGTGGGAAGAGTGGCAGCAAGTTACGCTACATGAAAGTACCATCATCTCGAATCATGTCGGCAGGGGGACTGCGCTTCCAAGCCTTTCAACAACAGAGACTTGCCGCTTTCACAGATATACAGTTACAGAGACAGGCAGCAAGAGGAGAGGGGGGAAAAAGGGAATGCAGAAATCTCCTGGGAAAACTCTCGCACATAATAACTGGGTTCAGGGAGCAAAGCTCCTGTCCTTACAGGAGCCAAGCATCCACCGCCGCTAATCACCAAAACCTGGCACATTGGAGAAGACGGCTATGCGGCCGCCAACTGGAGATGACGTGCGAACGCTGGGCTTTCAAAGCAGGGTAGGGAGCAGTGAGCCGTCAGCACGTGAACCCCCGGCATGCTTCAATCTCCTCTGCAGACCCCTTCCTGGGAAACCGAGTCCCACTGCCTGCCGCAGGGATGTGCGCTGCGTGCAAGTGCTCGCAGTGCTTCGGATCATGGATTTAACGTGCTCCTCTCACATCTGTCTCAGTCAAGGCACGGGGGCCTGCTGTTCTCTGGCTGCAGCAGATGACAGTCCGTGCCAGCGGGGCAACCTCGTGCTGGGAGAGGGACCAGCAGAGTAACTCGACAGGTCCGTCCCATTCCCGATTCCTGTGAGTTCACGTGCAGGATATACAGGAGAAGCTCAGCAGACCTTAAACAAGCGCGTGCTAAATGCAGCAGTCGCTACGTCACTGCAACATCCAGTTCCTCAACTGATAGCTCGGTGTCACCAGGACCTGCCTGCTCTTTTTGCACAAATGCCGACTCCTTGTCAGCCAAGCCTAAAACAAAGGAGCTGCAGGCCAACGCATTTCCCCCTGACCTCTCAGGGGCATTGAGTGGCACAGAGCCCGTGGCACGAAAGGCCTTGGGCACAAACCACAAGGGTAAACCACACATTGCAGTAAGCTCCACGGGAGAAGACAGAGGAGTTGCACGAGCCAAAAGGGAGGACAAAGCGGCAACACAAAACAAGCCCACTGACGAGATGGGCCAAGAGACGTCTCGCCTGCTCAGAGGACGAGGACCACTGAGCTTTTGGGAGCGGGCTCGCCCATCTGCTGCGTTGGCGGGACTACGTTTTCTTTTGCCTGTACGTTATCCATCTTCACTGCGCTCCACCTGGCCTCCTTCCTCTTGCTCCATTGCAGCTCAACCTGCAGCCGAATGATGCGGAGAGCCAGCGATAATAGCACCCTGCTAACGCAAAGCCACCAGATCCAAGCGGGCAAACCAGGCCACTGCTACGTACAGCCCCTTTTTTGTTTTTTTGCTGTGTGGTTGGTGATAACCGGCTGAAGAAGCCACTTAAAATAGGCACCAGCCAACACCAAAGCCTGGGATCGCGTCATATCCAGGTCCTAAATGAAAATGGTGTGCAATGTCAAATTCTTCCTATTAACGCGTAGTCACGGCCCTCCGAACCAGCGCGCAGCCCGGAGAGTCGGAATAAATCTGCTGGAGGGAAGAAAACAATTATCGCGTTACTCACGTTGATACTTTCTCAGTAATTATGCTGTTTCCATGTGATTTGTTTTTATACATGGCTAACAGCTACTGGAGCTCCTGTTTATCCCTGGCCTTATTATTATGTGATTTGTATGATAACAAGGGGGAGAAAGGGGGCAATATTCATGCAAAGCCTCCTTCCGACATAACAGCTGCTGCCACTGAAGGCAACGATCAGGCACTAGAGAGGCTTTGTATGGGAGCAACACCAAGCG